GAGCGATTTATTATGAACAGGTAAAGTGTGTGAATGTCACACACTGTCGTCACAGTGTCACCAACATTGTTGGCTCAGAGGCGTGCGAAATGATTCTATATAGAATGTGTGGAATTCCCCAGGAGCATTTAAATGCCTACACTTGAACAGGCGCGCGGACAAATTTGTTTTAAAACAGTGGTAAAGTAAAATAAAGGTGCTAAGTCCGTGCCTTCTTGGGGCAAAGGCACTAAACAGGGCACTAAACCACTAAACACCCCAAAATACGGTGCTAAAATTGGTGCCTTTGACAGTTCTAGTGCCTTTGTAAAGGCACTAAACCCTTAGCACCTTTTAAAGGTAGGGCTTAAGCACCTTTGTTTTACCAGTGAATTCAAACCCCGACAAGTGAGCGACATTTTCACACTTTGCTGATCAATACCAGGTTGCGCGCGCGATGCGATAGTGATGATGGCGGCTGCGGGTGCCGCGTGCGAAACGCTCGCCACGCGCCGCGCCACACCGTCACGCGAGTTGGCCACCTCCTCCCAGTGCGTGCCGAGTGACAATTGGCGTGAAAAGAAAGTGAGAGGCACACGCGCGCGCGCGCGCGCAGACAGACAGACACACCTGTCCTGTATTTTGGAGAGAAAAAAAACATGACAAATAACGACAGAAAAATTATTTTGACTTTCAACCAGGTAAACGATGAAACGCACAATAATGCATGACCATTCCCCAAAATATCAAAGAACAAAATTAATGCTGTTTGTGGGCGTCTTCTGTAGATCGGAGACTACTTGTCGATGATTATTTGTCCTAGCACTATTACCACAAATTTCCAAAGATTTCTTGTAAAAGGACTCGAAACGTAGCCGTCAGAAAATAACAATAAAATAAAGACCATTCCTTTATTATTTCGTTCGTAAGGCCATAAAGTCATCCGGTCATTGCTCGATTTGCTCAGTAGTTCTGCCTCTCCTCCACACCACCTCGAACAGGATTTCATTGGTTTGGACATTATTTTAGATGATTGATTTTTATTACGAGTTAGATGTGCCAGGAAAGGAAGGCCCCTCTCCCCCC